ATGGTGGTGTGTGTGTGTGCGTGTGTGTGCGTGTGTATGTGTGTGTGCGTGCGTGTGTGTCTGTGTGCGCGCGCGTGTGATGTGGTGTGACGCGGTGTAGCGTGGTGGTGGTGGGTGGGGTAGTGGGGTGGTGGTGGCGGTGCGCGGTGGTGGTGCGCGTGCGTGCGTGCGTGCGTGCGTTGGTGGGTGGAAGTGGCGGTGGGCGGGGCGGGGCGCGGTGCGGTGGTGGCGGGCGGATGGGCGCGCGAGAAAGAGGCCCGCGCTGGGGCGAGAACGCCATCCTGAACGACGGAGGCAAAACACCGATCCGAAAATGAGGCCCAGGCTGCAGCGGGAGCACGATTCGGAACGAGCGGAAGCCCGAAAAAACGAGGCCGGCACCTCAGCGAGAGCAGCATTTTTAGAAAGAAAAAAAAACGAAAACCTAACTCCGGGAAATCCTGTGTGTAAAAGAACGGTACGCGGAAGGGTGCCCGCTATCTTCCGCACGCCATCAGGGGATGGAGGAGAGTGCATTCATATTAAGTAATTGTATAGAGGCATAAGGATGAGGGAAGACAGGAGGGAGAGAAAGAGGAGGAGAGGAGGGAGAAGGGAGGAGGGAGAGGGAGGAGGAACAGGAAGGGAAGAGCGTGAACGTTCGAGGAAGTCCTAGGCGAAAGCGCATTTCCTGAAGGAAGTCTCGGGCGGGAGCCCACGACGGGCGGGCGATCCCCTGACAGGCGGGTCGGGCGGGTGGGACATTCAAGCGGGATGCCTGATTTTGGCGAGAGCGCGATTACTAAGTAAATTGTAACGGCGTCCTTGGCGCAGCCGTGTTTCCTGAGCGTCGACAGCGCGATTTCTGAATAAAACGCATGGAAATCACAAGCGAGAGCGCAATTCCTGAATAAAATGTGAGGGGTTCTCTGGCGGGAGCGCTGTTCCTGAGTAAGTTGTGAGGAAATCTAAAATAGGAGCGGGGTGTCTGACTAAATTGCGAGGAAGTCACAGGCGGTAGCACCGATCCTGAGGAAATTATGAGGAAATCTCAAGAGCGTGGGTCCTGAGTAAATTTGGGAGAAATCTCAAGCGGGAGCCGTTGTTGTTGTAATCCGGGGGGCCAGGGGCCAAGTTTGAGAACGAAGACTTTCCCTGTCAAAAAGCCGGGTGCTGGAGTCGAGGGGCACACTTTGATTGAGAAAAAACAGCTTGCACCGGTGAAGAGAGTTCAACAACAATAACAACAAATCTTTTTAAGACTGTTCGCTCTTACTGGCACGCGTGTCTTGCATTCCATATACCCCAACCCTCGATACCCGCCCACTTCGTCTTCGATTGCACACCCTTTCGGGGGGGAATCTCTTCTTTGTCGGCCACTGACTGAAGTGCGAGGAGCTCACGAGCGAGAGCGCCGTTCCTGAGTTCGGGGGCCTCTCTGGCCAAGGGTTCTCGGAATACAAAAGGAAAAATAGCGTAGGTGGTCTAGAGCGTTTCCTCTGCCAACCCCCGTCTTTCCCTTCGGGGAGGGGTTTACCCCTCCCCTTACCCCTCCCCACCGACCTGGACGAGGGGTTCCGCGGGTCGTTGGGACGTCCAAGGTGGCCCAAGACGGCTCCAAGAGCGAAAAAGCGAAAAAGCACAAAATATTGATGTTCCTCAGGTTTTGGAAGGATTTGGGCCTCTTGGGGGGGCCCAAGAGGCGATTCGAGTACGACCCCCCTTCTTTGATAGATCTCCTCCAAGATGGCCCCAAGAGCGCCCCGAAGGCTCCCAAGAGCGCCCCAAGAGCGCCCCAAGAGGGCCCCAAGAGGCCCCAAGAGGCCCCCAAGAGGCCTTCAAGAAGCTCCCAAGAGACCCCCAAGAGGCCCCAAGAGGCTCCCGAGATGGCCCAAGACGGCTCCAAGAGCGAAAAAGCGAAAAAGCACAAAACATTGACTTTCCTTAGGTTTTGGAAGGGTTTTGGCTTCAAGAAGGGCCTCAGAGGCGATTCGAGGCACTCTAGAGGGGCAGCGCTAACATACGACCCCCCCTTCTTTGATAGATCTCCTCCAAGATGGCCCCAAGAGCAACCCGAAGGCTCCCAAGAGCACCCCAAGAGCGCCCCAAGACGGCCCCAAGAGGCCCCAAGAGGCCCCCAAGAGGCCTCCAAGAGGCTTCCAAGAGACCCCCAAGAGGCCCCAAGAGGCTCCCAAGATGGCCCAAGACGGCTCCAAGAGCGAAAAAGCGAAAAAGCACAAAACATTGATTTTCTTTCGGATTTGGAAGGGTTTTGGCCTCAAGAAGGGCCTCAGAGGCGATTCGAGGCACTCTAGAGGGGCAGCGCTAATATACGACCTCCCCTTCTTTGATAGATCTCCTCCAAGATGGCCCCAAGAGCGCCCCGAAGGCTCCCAAGAGCGCCCCAAGAGCGCCACAAGACGGCCCCAAGAGGCCCCCAAGAGGCCTCCAAGAGGCCTCCAAGAGGCCCTCAAGAGGAGGAGAGGAGGAGGAGGAGGAGGAGGAGGAGGAGGAGGAGGAG